ACATGAGGAGACGAGGTCCCAGCTCGTCGACTACGGCAATAGGATGTCGGCCCAGGCTTGCCTTCTGAAGGAGGCTGCCAAGCAGATCGACGGCGAGCCCATCGCCTTGCCCCCGCCTCTAACGTTTGCGGAGGTTACCGTCCAGTACTTCGAGGAGATGAGGGATTGTATGGATAAATCGGCCGTCTTCAACCTTCATTGGTTGTTCCAACGGCTCGATGCCGGGCTGCTCTCTCTCGAAGACTTCCGCACGATCCTTGTTGAGAAGGCGGCGAGGCTCGAGGTGGAATGCGAGGGGCTCGTCTGTGAGGTCGACGAGGATGAGGCTACTGTGGTGCGCCGGCTCAAGGGCTGGGCCCACGACGTGATCATGGGTTTCCAAGGGCTCGGCCCCATCCCGTGCCCGGAGACTTGGCGGCTGGCGCCGGGGGAGCTGCTGCCGGCGTACGAGCCATTTCTGCCCACCGCCGACTCTGATTCGGAACCTCGCCGGGCCGCCGTTCTGACGGTTGTCGAGGAGATCGAGAGGGACGAGAGAGAGGCGATGGCGGCAGCCGAGGCCGAGGTGGCGGGGAGGGTAGATGAGGCCGGCACCTCCTGCGTGGACAAAGAGGCTGAGCTCGCGCCCGAGGGGCAGCCCTCGGAGTTGGGCCCGTGATTTCCTTTTGTCTGCCGGCCTGCGTGCCGTTGAACTGACCGGGTGTGGTCTAGTTTTTGTTACTGGCTTTTTCAGATGAATATTTGTAAACTTTTTAAAGTATTATGATTATGCCGTGCTAGTTATTTGAATTCATTTATGCTTTTCTGATTATGTCATGGTTATTTGATGACTGTTCTTAATTGTTTGGGTTTTGAGGTCGGCTTCGACGCTGTGCTCGTTACCGGGCTCACGGTTGAGCCCGGCACATTTCCTGCTGAGGCTGAACCTCATTTTCGGGCTTGTTTTTGGTTTCGGTGCCGAGGTCGTGTTCGACCTCGGCTCTTGCTCGCCCCTTGGATCAGATCAT